AGGCGGTCGAGAGCGTATGGTGGTGCAATCGGGCGGCATTTTGTGGCACATGGCAACGGACTTTTGCTTATTAAACATGTTTTCACGCAATATTGTCACACAAATTAACGTCTTTAAAGCGATGATACACAGCAAACGTTGAGTAGTATATGTTACTTATGGTACAGACCCGTGAAGATCCGGGGTAGAATAGGTCTTCAGCAACATGGTTAATGCATGTCATCGCGTACCAATTGCATGGATCGATGCTCATGATATTAATCACTGGATTGTCTGGTCCAGACTCGCTTTACGTCATATATCTGGAATAGTGCTGAGTGCGGCGTTAAACAACCATCCAACTTATGGTACACCATACATGTTGATTTCTGAGGTTGTGTTTATTGTTGTAATGGGAACATAACCTATGTCTCGCATAGGTTAAACGATAATTATGGAAGTGAAATATTCATCAGCAAATATATTTGCAAATAAATTCTAGGTTATATGATATAAAAAGGATCCTTGAATACATCAAATATCAAGACTCCCATTTGAAAGGCATACTGAGTAAAAATCCCTCTCTGTATGTTAGAGATATCACTTTTATCTTGACCATTCCAAGTATGCAATGGGTTATATCCTTAGAGATATTAATAATCGTATATGTTGCATGAAAAAGAAATCCAAATATATTTTGCCGAAGACTTGGTTTAGAGAATAGGAATTCATTTTTGTTAAACATGCGTGTCACGTCCCTAAAGCGTGTATGTTCTGCATAAATATATTGAGGACGAAACTGAAAAAATGAGAAAGGTACATGCCTCAGTAAAAAGCAAACATTTACAGAGCCATAAATGCGCTTTAAGAAACTTCGGACCGAGTTGCAAAGGTCAAATCCAGGTCAAAATTTAAAATATCCCGAAAGCAGAATGTAAATGTTGAACTTACTCGGTGATGAGGATATATTTACAGGGCCAAAGATTAGTTTCAAGAGTCTTCGGAGCCAATTGAAAAGGTCAAATCCAGCTCAAAGTTTCAAATATTGCGAAAACACAATGTTTGTTGAGTACCATTATCAAACAAACATGTTCGAAAGTTCAATACATTTTGAATAATATTGGCCATAAATGGACTTTTAAATAGGCATACCATGGCTCTTGAACATTTTGCATTTTTGGGGTGGGAGCAAGCATGTGAACTTTCCGCTTCATGGGTCCAGGGGTTTCTGGGCGAAAGCTCTTTAAGATATAAACAAACCGAGAATAATAAAATATCTTTTTGTGATGATTACCATTTGTTGTTTTTTATTATTTTGGATAATACCATCGTCATTGATTTTGTAATGGTGGATGATAATGAGGCTTTAGCTGATGGCACAAACTCATATGATTACTCTTTAGTAATTTGCTTGTCGTAAAAGGCGACTAACGGGATCGGGTGGTCAGGCTCGCTGACTTGGTTGATAGATGTCATCGATCCCAATTGCGTTGATCGATGCTCATGATATAAATCACTGGATTGTCTGGTCCAGACTCGATTATTTACAGACCGCCGTCATATAGCTGGATTATTGCTGAGTGCGGCGCAAAACAACCAACCAACCAACCAACCAAAAATCCAACTCATACTTAAGAGCAAGAGGGTTGTGAAGTTTCCGTATGCTGATGATAAGTCAGTGATTTCCATTGCGTACTTGTCAACGTCCAGAAGTCTTCTACTTGTCAAACATTGAGTATACTTTCAGTGAGTTACCTTCATGTTGTCATACGAATTGTAATAACTACCAAATATGCCAATACATTCAGTGAAACAAATATCTGGTCTCATGACAATTGTTTTCCTTTGTCTTTGTTGCCCGGAACTATTATTTGGATTTTCTGGCATCAAATACCCAATAATATCTGCAAACCTAAAAACACAAATTGTTTATCGATTATGTATAAACAATGGTTGTCAATCACTTTCTGGAGCGCTCTGTGAGCGGAATCTCACAATCGGGACGTCTCTGTGGATTGCGAGGACGTCATGATAAAAACCGACGATGCAGTGATAACTGACAGTTCTTAATATTCGAATTATTTATCAAATAGAGGATATTTCATGTATCGAGTTAAATGTCATGTTTCAGTCATCGAGTGACGAATGGAAATGAAATATATAAAAATATCTCCGTTTCCCCTTCACGAGATGAGAGAAACATGATGTTTTACGAGACACATTGAATATCCTACTTATTATTTACTTATCGTGTAGTTGTCTACCGGAAAATTAAATTATTATATTACAAATGTCAATCCTTGAAACGTAAATTCTCCCTACCTAACACACAGGGACGTTTCACCACACCCTGTATTTGTGACTAAAAGAGTAGTTTCATGTTTGCAAAATCTTAAAAAATATAAACAAAAGGAAAAAAAGATACTTAGGGTCACGAACATTCTTTGTGATACGTACCTATAGATATGATCATATACAAAATCAACTTTAACAAAACATATTCTTGATAACTACGAGACTGTTAGAAGCGACAAAATACGCGCTGTTCAAGTAAGACAAATGGCGCTTTGCGGAACGACTCGATTGACGAGTTAAATGAGAAATGTACAGCTTATAGCGAAACATTTTCAAGAGAATAACACACGGCATGAAGCGATATGAACTCCATAAATGACCATATGTCATTATTTTGCCTTGTCAGTGTGAAAGTAACGTAAAAAGGAAGTCAACAGTCGGTGTTTGGGCCAGACATTTACGATAAAGGGAGATAATTTGAGGGGAGGTAACTCTTGTATGATAGTTCCGTCAAAGTGTTCTGTTCACAACAATGAAAATATCTTTTTTCTCAACTTACCAAAACTCAGTCTTTCACGCTGAAGTATATAAAATCAACATATTTATTTAACCGCCTGGGTGCCAGAAGGACGTATATGTCCCTCCGCTTTAACCCTCACTTTGAAGTCGAATAAAATTCAACATTCATCACGCAGACACATATTCTGTGGGCACTTCCCTGCAATGTGAAATCATCTACTGTAATTTAGGCAAAGCAAAATTACTGCAAATGAACTCTGAAAACTAGGTGCATCGTAAATGTCGTAATTGTCGCGGTTATTTACACAAAACTAAATCAACATTCACGGCCTTATCGGAAAACACTTATCAGTGTCTTTTTTTTAAAACCGGTTTAATATTTACAGTTAAATTTACACCATCAGATAGGGAATACAGTATTCTACATCACTGCGTAAGTGTATAGCAGCAGGTAGATCCAGCGCCGCGTGAGAGCAATTCTCGCACATTTCAGATCACGGCATCCAGTGGGTTGACGTGGTATCCATTTGGCCAAGAATAATACAACTTTTTTTTTTAAATATGGGATTTGTCAAAAAAGTTATCAAGAAAAGTACGCATGTGCAAGGAATAGTTCAGAAGACAGCCGGGTTTTCAAAATTTATGAACAGCTATACAATCCCGTTCAGTCACATTTCTCAACCATCACTGATATCAAGAGAAGCATAATACAGTAGATAACGTGATCCCTTCTAACATGTCGAGTGTTGCATACCGTGTTAGTGTTAAACATAATATTAGCGTAACTGTTTAGCATCACTTTATCATTATCAGTATGTGTTGAGGCAACTGACAGATACACAAGTCATTCGTGACCAACTCGTGTTATTCCGGGACAAGCCGAATAGCGACTCGTGCCCCTCTCGTGGCCATTTTTGCGACCGGGTTCCGTCTTAGCGCAAACGGGCATAACTAAAACAATTGTCAATTCGTTGCGTAATGGTTCACATATATTTCCCCATATATTATATATATTTCAGATGCCTTTTAAAGCACATCGGGACGTGCGGAATTATACAATATGATTGAACACATTTAACTGTGTCTTTGGTATATTTTTAGATGCAAGACATATGTAAAATCAAAAATTATTTCTGAGGGATTCTTTGACGAAGTACTTGAAATCATACGCGCACTCTGATTGGTTTGTCGTATTTTCGCACATAACATTCATCGAGAGGTGGACGAGTCTTCTTGCAGGTTACGGAAAGGGGCGAGTGGTGACGAATGATACACAAGTGTATGATCAGTGCGCGGAGACCCACACTGTTACCATCTGCCAGGTTCAAGGATATCTTGTCATGGTCGCTTTTAGTCTGAGTGTTGTTAATGATGCATGCTGGTATGAATTTGTGTTTACTTCGCAAATCGAACGATCGTGTATTTTAATTTTAACGGCATTGTTCTGTTGACCGTTATCATAGAAATAAATGAGTTGGCTTTTAACAGTCTTCCCGTGAAGATCCGGGGAAGAATAGGTCTTCAGCAACCCGTAAAAGGCGACTATGCTTGTCCCAAGAGGCGACTAACGGGATCGGGTGGTCAGGCTCGCTGACTTGGTTGATGCATGTTATCGATCCCAATTGCGTAGATGGATGTTCATGATGTCCGTCACTGGACTGTCTGGTCAGACTCGATTATTTACAGACCGCCATCATATAGCTGGAATATTGCTGTGTGCGGCGTTAAACAACAAACAAACAATTTAAACAGTCTCCCTTTTAAATATGTTTAGGTGTAAAGTGGTCTCACCTCTTCAGAGTTTTCCTTTCAGCCAGACAGAATGGATTAAGAATGAAAATTATCAGATTTAATAAAATTAAAAATTAAACAACTATCTAACTGGAGAGGCTTTAAGAACCGTTAACCTTTGCATTTCCGTATGTAAACCGTCGGGAAAAAGAAAGTATACATTGAACATCCATGTTTCACGGTGGCTAAAAGATGAAACAAACAAGTATCATGTACCAATATCATAGTTGTCTTATGGACATTAGGTTTGCAGTTTTCTGTCGAATGTGTTCAGCCTAGTAACGATTTTTAACGTTTGTAATTATTTGGTCAAATCCAATTTTCAAGTGTATACTTTCTTTTGTTCTTCAGTTTATTCACGAGGTGGGTCGTGGGTCGAAGTGAACAACGATTCAAACCATAAGAAAACAAAGCTATAAGAAAACATAATTTATTGTTGTTTAGTTATATATTTATCCGTTTTTGTTGTGAATGAAACAAAGATAACAACACCACATTTTATCAGACATGACAGCCATATGCCTCTTTCACATATGACATAAGACAAAACTCATATTTCTTGAAAGTATACTACTGTTCATATTTCTTATAGATGTGAAACATTAATAAAGTAGAGTTTTAATCAAGCGTTCACAAACAATACAAATACATACGACACATACAATACATACAAAATCATGCACTAAATATCATGATTAAACCTTTCCATTATTACACAGGAATTCGAATGGCGCTTGGCTATTGGACGTCACATTCAGGTGCACCTGGCAGCATACATTGCGCTCTCGTATTAACAGAACACTCTCTTCTTGTTGAGGTAGAAAGCGGCGTGGCATCCCCCGCAGTAGCTCTCCCTTTGAAAGATAAGAAAGTACACTTCAAATTCATTTAACCACTTCAGAGTCTTTAAATACGTTGGTTAGGCAGAGTGAGTGAGTGAGTGGGTATGGTTTTACGCCGCTTTTAGCAATATTCCAGCAATATCACGGCGGGGGACACCAGAAATGGGCTTCACACATTGTACCCATGTCGGGAATCGAACCCGGGTTTTCGGCGTGACGAGCGAACGCTTTAACCACTAGGCTACCCGACCGCCCCTTAGGCTACCAGAAACAAAATCTAAATTTTTCAAAATTCAAAAAGGCACCTCATCAACGCGATGGATGTATATTTTCAGACGATGTAATGTTATAGTCCCCGTTAATTCGGGTTTTTTGTTTGTTGTTCAACGTCGCACTAAGCAATATTCCAGTCTTTAATAATCGGGTCTAGACCAGTGATTGACATCATGAGCATCGGTCAACGCAATTGGGATCCGCTTACATGTAGCAACCAAGTCAACCAAGTCAACCAGTCCGCCCATTAAATCTCATAATTATTCTTTGCGAAAATCTTACACAAAGCATATTCCATCGTTCCAGATCTTCAAGAATGAACTGAAGCAGTATTATTATCATGAGTCGGAATTAAGACATGTAACATGGAAGTCATTGTTGTCTGGTTATTATAAACAATATGAAATCAACAAATAAACAAATGAACATTTTCCCCACAGCCGCGATCGTTGCGGCGTTTATGTTTATTGATTTATAAATAAAGATACTTACACACATGTTGCCATGGGGAATTTGAAGCACTTAGCGCTGAGACATGGAGACATGGCACAGTTGACCTTCGGGATACCCATTGGACACGGTACTGATACTGTAGATAAAACCAGATAGAGTGAGTGAGTGAATGAGTGCCTTTTAGGGTTGAGTCCCATCCGGGATTCGAACCCACACTGCCAGATTGAGGCACCTAAATCTAGTCAGCGATCTAACCAACTCACCGAGGCCTTGAATAATGAAAGTCCGACAACTGGTAGTCTAGATCACGTACTGTTGGTTTATTGTTTTACGCCGCACGGCGGTCTGTTAATAATCGAGTCTGGCCAGACAATCCAGTGATTGACATCATAAACATCAATCCACGCAATTGGGATCGCTGACAATGCATCCACAAAGTCAGCGAGCCTGACCACCCAATCCCGTTAGTCGCCTCTTACGACAAGCATAGCCGCCTTTTACGGCAAGCATGGGTTGCTGAAGACCTATTTTCTACCCCAGATCTTCAAGGGTCAGATCACGTACTGTGTACCCCTCAGTTGCGGGAATTCCTATTGGTATAATAACATGCGCACATAATCATAACAATCGGTTTAAGTGATCTCCACACTCACAGAATCTGGATCCAGAGTTCATCGAAAAACTTGAAAATCCAGAATTGAAGCCGAATCCAGAGTTGAAGCCGGAATTGAAGCCCGAGTTGAAGCCGGATCTGCACTGGCAGAGTCGACACCCTCGGAAATCTGTCTTATATCCCATAGAACACTTCTTGAAACATGATAACATGGGGCACTGGGACATGCCCCCCATTCCCATATTGTTCATCATGCCCATGTTTCCCATATTGTTCATCATTCCCATGTTTCCCATGTTTCCCATATTTCCCATGTTTCCCATTCCCATGTTATTCATTCCCATGTTATTCATTCCCATGTTATTCATTCCCATATTATTCATCATTCCCATGTTACCAAAAGCTGAAAAAAAGAAAAAAACACCATTAGTCCAACACATGAATTACAAAACCAGTGATCAAATAATTATTTTGACTCATACATTACAAGAAATCGGAAGTTTAAACAATATTATACATGACTAGGTTTTATTGCAATTATATAGCACTAGATCTGATCACCATTACATTTTCAACCGAACTATGTTATGTCACATCGATTAAATTGTTGCAAACAAACAGGAAGTCACTGCCAATATATAAACCTGTTCACATAGAAAAACAATATTCACAGAATTTTAAACTGTAACAATTCAAACCCTTTTCCCACGTGCACTGATTTACGTTTTTCACCAACACACCCATGTTAGATACATACATATACATCACACACTATCACAACACACATTCTATAACATATCCTTAAAAGTGCACCTCTCCACTTCACAACAGTAATAATGGGATTCCCCATCACAAAACGACAACTGGACAGCTGTACATGAGGGTTTGTTTCTCGTCTTCTTATCCTCCTAACCCCGAACAGTTTGTTTGCTGTTCAACGCGCACACAGACTGTAAATAATCGAGTATGGGTGAGTGAGTGAGTGAGTGAGTATGATTTCACGCCGCTTTTAGCAATATTCCCGCAATATGACGGCGGGGGACACCAGAAATGGGCTTCACGCATGTCGGGGATCGAACCCGGGTTTTCGGCTAGACAGGGTAACAACAAGTACCATCTTTTAACGTCTTTTGGTATGACGCGGCCGGGGATCGAGCCCCGGACCTTCCGCTCTCCGGGCGGACGCTCTACCACTAGCCCACGGAGGCGGTCTATAATCGAGTATGGATCCGACGAGCAAGTCATTGAGATTAGGAGCAAGGACCCATTCCAACAGCGTCATTGTGGCCGTCGGGCGAGAATGACATGCAATCAACCAAGTCATCGAGCCTGACCACCCGATCCATTTGGTCGCCTCATACAACTACGTATCGACGTTTCGATGTCGATTTTTACACTGTTCTGATCCCAGCAGGAGAATGATGTAAAACTCTACATCGAAACGTCGTTAATGCAATAAACCAGAAGTTGTTATCCATAAAGTTGTAGGTTTTTCTTATGTACTCACTAACACCCAGAATGTCTGTCAAACCAACGTTTCCGGCTTGACATACATGTAGTTATCCCCCTTTAACTGTAGCGGCGTGTACACACGACTTCAGACATTCACATGGGAATGCGTCTGACAAGAACACAGACAACAGACACAATAACGTTAAAATTGTTTTACAAAAGGGACGAGTGACCAAACGTATATATAATACTCAGGTACATGTTCAAATCAAACAACACAGTTGGGAACTAGCTACTGATTATATGTCACAATGAGTAATAGCGTATGTACAAATTCTATTTACAAACACAACGAACTAGAATTACACATACTGTTAGTCTTTCTCCTTTTTTTCTTCATGTTGTTCATCATGCCCATATTATTCATCATTCCCATATTTCCCATGTTTCCCATATTATTCATATTTCCCATATTTCCCATATTATTCATATTTCCCATGTTATTCATCATACCCATATTTCCCATATTCCCCATATTTCCCATGTTATTCATCATCCCCATATTTCCCATATTTCCCATGTTATTCATCATCCCCATATTTCCCATATTTCCCATGTTATTCATCATTCCCATGTTTCCCGAAGTTCCAAGTATTATTTTGCCCTTCCCATTTGTTCCAGTAGCTGAAATAAACGCAAACACTGATTAAGATTACTTTCCTTGAAACTGCAAAGCCAAAGAATCAAAAGCAATCCTCCAAAAGCTGTAGTAAACCAATATAATTAAGCTTTTAAAAGCACTACATAGAAAGCGTGAAGCTTGTAAAGTAACCAGAAGATACATTGTAATCTGCAACAATACATTTATACAAGAAAATGTAACGATGAAAAATTATTAAATTTAAAAGAGTTTAATAATTGCTAAAATAGAAATCATAGTGAAATTAATATTTTTAATATTTTTAATATTTAATATATTGAAGTGTAAAATGCACAATCCGTTGGCAATTTGCATATAGTTCAAAATGTTAAAAACGGCTATATTATATCAACATGTTTTTAGAAAAGTCGTTTGAAACGTTGAAGAACTTCTCACACATTCGTTAATGTCCATACTCTGTTTGTGATAGTGGAGTTAATGGTTTGTCATTGACGTTTAACATTGATGTGAATGATTGTATTGCTGCCCACGTTTCCCAAGCAGACACACAACAAGCAGCCCCAATGGGTTTTATCGTTTACAGCTTACATGATTTACACGTGCACGTCTCGCAGCCTTTATCGTCTCTGTCATAGCCGTTAGAGCACGTGCTGGTACAACTCTGCTTTTTGCAAACAACTGGTATTACTAAAATAATCGAAAATGTAAAGAAATAGTATTACGGTAGGTATTTATACACATATACAAATAATGTATTCGAATTAGAGATAAGGCTTCAACGTTAAAATAATTTCTTTCAGACAATTAACTTCAGGAGACAATACAAACTTTAAGATCAATATGATTGATGTGAGCTTAAATCGTTTAAATTTAATCATCACATATATATTGGTAATTTGTCTTTTTCTTTGCGTTAATATTTACTTTCACTGACTTCATCTATCTTGGGATTAGTATATGGCGCGACATAGTTTAATTCGATTTTCTTTAAAACCTGTCTCTTTTTGTGTATTAGATAACTTACGAATAACAGGCCTATAATTAGCTTGCTGGAAACCTGATGATTGTGCTGCAAATATAAATAGTTGTCACATGAGAAGAATATACAGTTGCAGATCAAAATAGTCCCGCAGTGGTCACATATGTGAAGGCGTATGTACTTTAGAGACGTATGCATTAAGCAGTAATAGCGGACAGTGTTCCTTATAAATACAGCTGCAAGTACTACACGCAAACTCAGAACGTTTAACACTATGAATGTACACTGATATAAAATACCACAACTGGCGTATTTAACATTGGCTTTGGCAGAGCTTTTATATAAATAAGTTAAGTCACATCTCGGTATTTGACGGAGTTCAAGTGGCTACTGAAGACAACTATTTAATCACACACTGTTTGTAATCTGTGTGTGCTATTCAAGAATTCAAAGTGGACCGCAACTGGTAAGGGACTTTGCGTTTCGTAATTGCAATGGCATGTGCAAATAAACGTCAAAACGATCGCGACCGAAACGCGAACCTGAAGCGTCTCTGTCGCGATCATGTAGATGTGTATTTTGAAAAGATACGTAATTAGCTGTTGTTTGTATAGAAGGTTTATTGGTCTGTATATAATGTGTATTGACAATGAATATCGTTAGCAAGAAATGGTCAAGAAAGTGGATATAGTATGTTCATCATTATGGGTATTGGGTAGGGTAATTTAAGGATAATTATGCAAAGAAAAATGTCATGTACGTATTACTTTCAGGATTAACAAACACGGCGTCGACCTTGTCGATTATAGTAGCATATTGTCAAGTCATTCCATGAGTTTTTTGTCATTATCAAAATAATAGCCAAAGATTAATAAACTATATTACCTGTTTTCACTGTCCGACTGACTAAGGGTGTTGTATGAATGAGCACAATCGAGGAAAACAAGCAATGTTTTGTTTTTTGTTGCTTTTGTGTTGTTGTTGTCGTTGTTGTTGTTGTTGTTGTTGTTGTTGTTTTAAGTTTAAGTTGTATTCACATTAGATGCCACGATTATACAACTGGCAATGTTGAGGTACCGCTTGTGGCAGATGAGACGTTTTCAAAGACAGCATTAAAAGATGACATTATATGACAAATACAAGTTTAGCTGAATACAGTATGCTTTCGTTATAAACAAGAACATACTTGCGCAATATGCTCTAAATATCAGAATAGCAAAAGGGAGTTTGAAAGGTTTTTTTATGATGACATTATCCAAGCAATGCTTCAATTATCAGAACAGTACTGGATAATATCTTCAAGAGCCTCTCAACTATATATTTGTACATGCAGCATTTTGAAGATGAAAAGTCATTATGAAGCACTAACAAATACGATTAAGTGTAGGTGAAGACTGAGCAGTTGTTATCATGCATATCCTCACGGTCGCCATCAATAATGAGATGGCTGTGCCATGACAATAGTTCAGCAGGTACACACACACTGGCGGAAAGAAGTATCTGCACTCATCCATAGTTCATGGTCTCATTGCTGAGTATTTTTTAATATTGGCTAGTATTGCGCACAACCACCAGGAGCTAAAGTGATGACGTAAATCCTGCTGGGGTATCATGTAGGAGGCAGAGGTACTGTAAGTCCCCATGATCCCAAGCGAGGTGGCCTAGCTTTGGTTACTGGTGGCCTGTAGCCAGTGTTTAAAACTGTATATATCATATTGCTATGCTCAAATATGTTTCATAAATTGTTTCTAAATATGGTATGCTCAAATATGTTTCAAAACTTGTTTTTAAATTAAAAACTTTGCATAAATAACTAAATTGTAAATATATTAACTTGGTCTCGTCGCTATATGGCTGAAATAATGCCGATGCGACGTTAAATGTTAATTCACTCACTCACTCATAGTTCATGGTAACTAAATAGTAGTTGTGTGGGTATGAAGGCTACATGACTTTCATATGTAAAAGGGAAATACACACTATGAAGTTACTTTACTTAAACAATTATCATTGATCGTGCTTATGGCGAATGAACATTAACAGCAATTTGTAGAATAAATGTGCAAATAAAACAACGTGACAAGGACGCATGTCAAAGTTAAAATTTAAATGTGAATTACTTTTAAATAAAACTTTTTTTCACTTAAAATTTCAAAAACATTTTATGCAAAAGTTTATGAGGCCAATAAATGTCATACCTAATAGAACTATCGTGTTGTAATCTTTAAAGGGCAAACGTTGTAAGTTATGTGAGTAAAATGGTATAACAATCAATGGCATGAACAAAGATACCTTTTTCCGCTGGTGTACATGTAACTACATAACCACAGATACATTATACAATGTGTATGGTATATGTACATTAAGAGAGAGAATTTATGGATGTCAACGTCTTTATTATAACTTTCACAAATAACACAAGCTTTCTTGTCTCATGAAGAAGTAAGCATATACTCCGAAACTTTGTGTTCCTCATGATAAAGAAGTTGACATCCATAAATTCTCTCCCTTATGTGTGTCACTTCTAAATGTCATTCAAAGACTACATGTACATGGTCGATGTTAATATATGACTCACAACCGCTGCCCGTCCTGCACTGACATAACTTGCATCCGTTCATGTCCCTCTTGTACCCCATGGGGCACGACTTGGTGCACATGAACGTCCGACAACCTCCTCCATACATCATCGACAACGCAGAGCCTGAATAATAATATAAAATAAATAAATAATAATAATAATAATACAGAAATTCAGGGTATAGATCCCACCACCCTCGCTCTTCCCTCAATCGCTCATATTTACCAATCATTATGGAAGGACGTGGTTTGATTAACGTTGGGGCTCTTCATGATAGAATTGTTTTGTGCACTTTTGCACACATTTATCTGTCTGATGATTCTGTTGTGAAGCATGTCAAGACTCATGAAGAAAACAAGGCATTCCACAGTTTTCTAAAACGAGCCAAGGATGTGGGACATAATCTCAATGTTGATTTTGTTGATGGTTCTGTACTGCTGGACGGTAGAGAAATGAGTGTCAACCAAGCGAAGTGCCATATCAAGTCGGCCCAGACTCAGTTTTTCAAGGAGAGGCTATCTGAATGACCACTGCATCGAGTTTATGTGCAGTGCGTTGAGAAGATCAGCAACCCTGCAGAGTCCTTCGCTTGGATGAAGTCGTCTGGCCTGAAGCGTGAAACAGCAGGCTTTCTGTTTGCTGCTCAGGACCTGTCACTTCCCACTCGAAACCGTCAATGTGTGATTTTGCATCAAAATGTAAATGTGAAATGTAGATTATGTAATGAATTTAATGAGACTGTCCAACACATTGTCAGTGGATGCCCAGCTTTGGCACAAACACAGTATCTTAAACGACATGATGGTATAGCTCGATCATTTTATTACCGTCTTCGCCATGCTTGTGGTTTTGACACAGAGGTCCACCCATGGTAAGACCCGGAATATGCAGAGGGCGTCAAAAAAAATGATAAATACACAGTTCTTTGGAATAGGCCCAGTTACAGCCTCGGTGGTATCCAGGCCAACAAACCTGATCTTGTCCTTTTTGATAAATCCAATGAAATCATTCATATCATTTATTTTTTTGTCCCCCTTGACACCAATGTTATTGACAAGATTGAGGAAAAACATGGTTTTCGAAATGTCACGCTTGCATCCCAAGTACCAAGTTGTCCGACTCCACATTGTTCTCAGTGCCTTAGGTTTGGTACCTCCCAAGCAGTTGACTGACATTGGGAGAGTACCCGGGTTTGCTACCAGGAAAACAGCCCTTCTGACAATCTGGGTAATGCAGAAGGCCGCAGTGTTGGGGAGTCGTCACATTCTCCGAAAGGTTACAGGTGGGTTTGACTAGGCAGCGCTTCCTGGGAGAAGTCCCATTCGCTGTCTGGGCTGTGTGTAGAGGGGGCAGGGCCCTGAGCTGATGATGAGCCTAACCAGCCTAACTGTGCCAGGATCACCCAAGCCCTCTTTGTTGCATTTTTTTAGATTTTAATCTGTAAATAATCATAAAAATAAAACTGGACATTCGTGATGCACCCGAATCCATGCTCAAAACTTGTGCATGCTCAAAACACTACAATGAACAGGTGAGGTGAGGTGAAATGGGGTTTAGCGTCGCGTCAGTTGTACATGAGCATATTTTATAATACACATAACATATATTTATCATAATACATGTCTGATTACAAAGGTAATGTTATGTGCTTTGAGGAAAAACAGTTTGAAGGAAGGTAAAAAATCTTGACAGGTGTTTCAGTACAGATACATTTGATGGACTCTGCAGTGTGTTGACATTTCGTGATATTTATATGGAGTTGGAATGTAGGGAAGTATTTGTGGCTTGAGGGCTTCGCACCGAAACAGATAAGGAAATTCGTCTCTGACAGTTGTAAAATAATATCTTCCCCACTTACGCTGTTATAGAACTGATAATGTCCTAAGTTAGTGAGTTGGGTTTAACGCCGCTTTAAACAGTATTCCCGTTATATCGCGGCGTGCCAACTTAATGTGGGAGGAAAGCCCGAAGTGATGCAGATCTCAGACGTTTATCACTTCGGTGAAACCCACGAGCACGGGTATGGTGCTGACAAACCTAGACACATAATCGGGGCGAACCGGGATTCGAACCCACACTCATAGGTTTCTGGCGTGCCCATGGGACGCAACTCTGTACAGCGAATCGCGGCGCCTTAGACGACTGGGCCACCCGTGCCCCCGATAATGTAGCAAGGGCCTGTATGATTACCGATACATTTATATGGCAGTAGGTGAGTGAGTGGGTTTAACGCCGCTTCGATCAGTCTTTCAGTTGGATTATGGCGGGTTAGCTGGTTGTGGGAGGAAAGTCTGAAGTGATGCATGTCGTAGACATTTACAACTTCTATGAAATACATACGACAAAAGAAATAAAACAAACCTGTCACACGCCGATTCGATTGTACAGATTCCGAATGTATCTTGGACACGTGTATATGAATCACTTTCAAATAGTGAAAATATCAGATGTTCGCGAAAAAGTGAACATATCCTACCCCACCGTTGTCACCGTCACAACCACATGCAAAGGCAAGTCAATTGTTCACATGAAAAACCACGTGACATATGGTACACTGATGTCCACGATATGGTGTCTGACAAACGTAGAACATAATCAGGAAGATTAGGGATTTATATCCTGAAACATAAAGTGCTGAAACATAATCGTTGCAAACCTGGATTCGAACCCGTGATCATAGGTTTCTGGCGTGCCCAAGAGACGCAACTCTGCACCGCCTTAGATGACTTCCCCCCCCCCCCCCCCCCCCCCCCCCCTCCCGGGCCCCCGCAGATCCTTATGATTTATGATATTGTTTAACTAGCTCTGTCTACGTGGTAGTTTTTTCGCATATTTTATTGACAAAACACAACTGTCTGCATTCACTCACTCCCTTTTTAGCTGTAAAAAAAGTCATGTTAGCCCTTGAATTATTTAGAACTACCAATATTAAATGTATATGGTGAATATACAGGGCGTACAGACGATACAAAGTTATAACCAGCTTATAAGATAGCACGTATTGTAATTGGTGATATGTGAATGCTAGTGTGATGAAATACCATGTGCCTCGTACCGCAAAATGACCTGGGCGCTAAGATGATTTTAACTCGAAATTTGTGGACACAGTCACCCGTAGTGGGTTTTATGCCTTCATGTTAGTGCAAATTATTTTAATTTCATCTCATGCAAATATGTGATATTTGGGAAGATATGTCTCATTTGTCATATTTGTTGCGTAATTTATTTGAATTATTTTTTTCTTCTAAAAATTAACATTTTCCGATTGTTCGCCCTTCTGTTTTTTCCCCTCTGTCATATATTGTAATATGTCTCAACTTAAACATTCGGATGTGTCATGTGATAAGATTCTTCAAATTCCGCTGCATATTTGTCAAGACCCTCTTTTTATGATATTATAATCTGGGCTTAAATGCACTCGCAGTTAAATGAGTCATTATTTTTAAAGTAAGTTGCACTTTGTGCAAAACGGAACAAATTAGAACACCCACTGACCAAGATTGAAGACTGACCTGAAATGGATTTTAAAGGTCGCGTCCAAGATGATTGTACTTATATAGCGACGTGCATCCATGTGTGTATGTCCATGTTAAACTGCGGCATGGTATCTCAGTGAGCTAGCACTATAAATCGGCATCAGTCCGGGCTAGTACAAGCAGCCACACAAACACATACACGTACATGTACATGCACGTCGCTATATAAGTACAATAATCTTGGACGCGACGTTAAACCCAATTTCACCTGACCTCACCTAAAATGATAAAAGATGCTTACCTGTAATCATGGCACAAATAAGGCACATTACGCATAACCGAGTAAGTAAGTCCATTTTGCTGTAGGCTGAATCTCAAACTACCAACTGTATGGGTGGCTGTATGTTATATATCTTGTCTTTACTTGGTAAATGGGTGCTAAATGCGCGGAATACGGAATAGCGCTTTTGGAATTGCTTTCTAAATCTGTGTCAACTTTCAAGAACGTGGGGGTGTAACCCATTCGGGAACTCGCCACAGTTTGTTTGCCTTGGGTTTAACCGGTTACAGTTATGTCGTCCTTTGGATTTAAAAGCAATATTAAGCCGCTTCCGTGGTGGGTTTTTTTCAACAAAGAGCATTTACATCACGTCTTTTTTAGAATTGTTTCCTATTGTTTTACATCTTTACGACATATCTATGTCAGCATCATCACGACATTATCGCACCAGACTCAGTTCGAGGAACTAGAATCGGTTTAGTTTGGGTAACCTTTACCGGTTTAGGTTATGCGATTCTGTTTAACGTCAAGATTAAAGACGACAAAGAGGACAGGTGCTATGCAATTAGCTTTACGGAGTCAACACGAGTTTTAGAAGGTCTTAGGATTAAGCACAAAAAGAAAAACAAAGAACGCACGGGCCGTCGTCTTCTATGATGTTCCTACAAGAGGCCTTTTTTACAAGATGGCATTTTCTTCACTAGATGCCTCTACTGAGGAGGAACGTGTTGTTTTAAATGCTTTTTAAAGGTAGTTTTTTAAACATAACTCAAATAAGTTAATTAAAACTGTCACTTTGTTCTAAAAACAACATTTCTGAAAACAAATGCAGGGAATGTAATATAGTTCTTTGTGACGAGATAGGAGTACCAAGGATGAAAGTGGCGCTAATAAGCTCGTGAAACTTGGAACTACATGTGCATAGCTTCCCTTCCTGTCTATGGATTTACGTAGTGTCTTGTGTCCTTTTTTCAAATATGCATTAAATTCTTGTTTTTATTTTTGTAATAGCTGCGCAATACTAAAATGAGTGATGTGTAATGTGAGTCATCTGCAATGAAAGGTATGCTGTAAAACATAATTCTAATCAGTAGTATACAAATAGTACAATAAGTTGGGGATGGGGATGGGTTGAGGTAGGGTGGGAGTATATATTTTAGACAGAATAGTTTTCAGTCATCCGCTTCAAGGTAAGAATATTCTCTCTGAAAGGAGAAGCCAAACTGTCCACTGAACTATTTTTACTTTTGTGAAGCTTGAGGATAGATTATTATATTTTTATTTACGTAAAAGCGACAAAAAAATCCATAGTAATAAGAAATCACTGTCAATGCCGGAGACCGTTATACGGTTCCGACACTATCATTAGCATGACTGTGTCTATGAATCACTATCAAACAGTGATGACACGTATCCTCCCGGTGGCTCTCTCGCAAACACATGCAAATGCAAGTTAGTTGTTTACCTGAAACAAACACGGGATATCAAGTCGAAATAGGGAATTGCATAGAGCATTATATTTGCCAATGATAAAACTTGGAAATGTCCTCCACGTGTACCGGGGCACGGGTGGCCCAGTCGTCTAAGGCGCCGCGATTCGTTCTGCAGAGTTGCGTCCCTTGGGCACGCCAGAAACCTATGATTGTGGGTTCGAATCCCGGTTCGCCCCGATTATGTTTCCTGGTTTGTCAGCACCATGCCCGTGCTCGTGGGTTTCACCGAAGTGGTTAACGTCTAAGACCTGCATCACTTGGGGCTTTCCTCCCACATTAAGCTGACACGCCGCGATATAACTGGAATACTGTTAAAAGCGGCGTTAAACTCAACTAACTCACTCTACGTTTACCGCTAAACATTTTGAAAGCTTTTCTGAAGCCTTCAATTCCGTACACTGATCAAACATCTTTTGCGCAAGAGCCGTATGGGACGATCAAATCCCAGCCCAGCCGTACTGTCATACTCGACCTGTAAACTTGCATCAATATTATCACGACAATATTTACCATGACGATCTGTATCAACATCTTGTTTACATTTGCAATAACAAACATGAGGTCATGATCATATTTGAAGATACACATACATGTGTGCAAGTTTGTGTTTAAAGCCACACCAACTATATATCAGTATCTGACAGCGGCTGTACATAGTCCGAAAGAGACAATCCAGTGATTGATGTTATGAACAACGTGTCACGCCATTGGTGTACGATGAACCAAGTTACATAATACCAGGTCAATTATACGAACATAATTATCATATCACTTCCTGCAACATTTCATGATACATGTACACGTACATGTAACTTCTAAGAGAGCCTGGACTATCACTATTTGATAGTGATATATAAACACATGTCCATAATCATGTTAGAGGTGAGGTGAAATTGGGTTTAACGTCGCGTCCAAGATTATTGCATTTATATAGCGACGTGCATGCACGTGTATGTGTGTGTGTGGCTGCTTGTACTAGTCCGGGCTGATGCCGATTTATAGTGCTAGCGCAATGAGATACCATGCCGCAGTTTCACATGAATACGCCACTCAGACACAGTATACTGACTCCGAGCCGACCAGTCCTTGTTTTAGCCCCTTAATGCCGAGCGCCAGACAGGGTAACAACAAGTACATCTTTTAACGTCTTTTGGTATGACGCGGCTGGGGATCGAACCCCGGACCTTCCGCTCACCAGGCGGACGCTCTACCACTAGACCACGGAGGCGGTCAGAGTCATTAGAGATGTCTTATGGTTATGAACATGACCTTCTATTATTGTGTATTGTTCGGTTTGACCTGGTGTCATCCCTATGTCAAAAGGATTCATAAACACATGCTTATGACAATGTTATTGTTCAATGGACTCATCTCTTAGGGGATGTCTTAATTTTGATTATGGACATGGCTTTGTCACTTCTATTACAGTAAACTACGGTTATAACGAACTCAAAGAGACCACTAATGTTAGTTCGATATAACCGTAGTTCGTTATAAGCATATATGCAGCATATATACAGCAAATGTACAGCAAATGGACGGGATCAAAACACATTTCGTTATATCCGTCAGTTCGTTATTTGCGTGTTCGTTATAAACGTAGTTTACTGTATTGTGTACAGTTTGGTTTTGGAACTCCTGGTGTCATCCCTATTTGATAGTGATTCATGCTCATTATATGGTCGGAATCGTACAATCGCATCTGCCTTCAGCAGATATTTCTGGAGGATATGGAAAGGGTTTTAACACGTTTATTTATTAAACATGATTGAACAGTGCTGTTCTGCTATCCAACGCAAATGGCTAGTAATGTTTCCATAGGTGAAACGGTAATCAGACGAAGAATTTTTTTCTGATCATAAACGACGACAGTTAAGCACAAGTTAAAGTTCACTAATTAAGTCTTGATCCCCGTGCAAGGTTCGGGCTATCTCCTGTAAGAACGACCTCACATGAATGTCTTTGAAAAGATACGGACTAAGCTGTCAGCCCCATGACACCCCTAGTGTAGATGTAGGTCACTTTGGGTCATGCCCTTTGACTTGTCACATGGCGTCGTTCGTTCCATAATTGTGTGGGATGGTCAAATATGTTGTAAACGAAATAGAATAGAGTCGTGAACTTTAGGTTGGATATGATTATGTTACGTGTTCATGTACGTGTTTGTAAACAGAATAAATGTGATGTGACATTTTGAGATGAAAATATTAGTGGGAGAGATTTAGGAGAGATTGCCTTAGTTTCACAAGGCATTCTTCAATAAATGAATCGGACAGTTTAAAATAGGAAATCTATTATAAGATTAGGGTACGGTTAATTTCCGACGAATTTCATCTCTTAATTCTGTGTTGTTTTTTGCAAATGGTTTCTTCAGCAGCGGATAAGTCGAGCCGTCGAGACGGGGAGCCGTGGTTAATCTGTCAGCAGGAAGTGGAAAGCATTTGTCGAGGATCTACATTAAGTTTACGGCAGGTCATGTGATTACATATAACACATCAACGCAAACTAATACTCAATCTTGTATATCTACCGGTAAAACACGGGGCCATGAGAAACACTCCGCTGAGAGTTCACTGTTCAAGTGTGATATCTTTTAGCATCATACCAGTTCGGTTAAAGCTTATTTCACTTGTTTAGTGGATACATATCTTTGACATCTTCACTTTGATTGTATTGTTGTATATCTATGAGAGGTATCCTTTGATTATATTTTATATATCCTTGTTCCCTTTGGTTGTCTTGTTATATGTCTTTGAGAGGTATCTTTTGATTGCATTTTTTCTATCTTTGACGGTTTCCCTTTGAATGTATTGCTATACATTTGATTCCCTTTCATTGTATGGTTATATATCTGTGACGGGTTCCCTTTGATTGTATGGTTATATATCTTTGAGAGGTTCCCTTTGATTGTATGGTCATATATCTGTGACGGTTTCCCTTTGATTGTATGGTTATATATCTGTGACGGTTTCCTTTTGATTGTATGGTCATATATCTGTGACGGGTTCCCTTTGATTGTATGGTTATATATCTGTGACGGTTTCCTTTTGATTGTATGGTTATATATCTGTGACGGGCTCCCTTTTATTGTATGGTCATATATCTGTGACGGTTTCCTTTCGATTGTATGGTTATATATCTTTGACGGTTTTCCTTTGATTGTATGGTTATATATCTTTGACGGTTTCCCTTTCATTGTATCGTTATATATCTGTGACGGTTTCCCTTTCATTGTATGGTTTTATATCTTTGACAGGTTCCCTTTTGATTCTATGATTATATATCTTTGACGATTTCCTTTTGAGTGTATGGTTATATATCTTGGACGGTTTCCCTTTGATTGTATGGTTATATATCTTTGACGGTTCCCCTTTGATTGTATGGTTATATATCTGTGACGGTTTCCCTTCGATTGTATGGTTATATATCTTTGACGGTTTCCCTTTGATTGTTTGGTTATATATTTTTGACAGGTTCCCTTTTGATCGTATGGTTATATATCTTTGAAGGTTTCCTTTTGATCGTATGGTTATATATCTTTGACGGTTTCCCTTTGATTGTTTGGTTATATATCTTTGACAGGTTCCCTTTTGATTGTATGGTTATATATCTTTGACGGTTTCCCTTTGATTGTATGGTTATATATCTTTGACAGGTTCCCTTTTGAATGTATGGTTATATAGCTTTGACTGGTTCCCTTTGA